AGTGAGGAAACATGGTAAAGGTAACATAGTAAACAATAAAGCCAGTAGTCAAATCTCACCATCCTAACTCTGGAGAATTTGTTCTCACAGGACCATTTCAGATCCCTGACCCCAGAAAATTTGTGATGGTGATCCTCACTTTAACCCATGGGGAAGGATCGATTGGACAATGGCTGAAAAGTTTTAAGATGCTATTATAATAAGGGAGTAGAATAAATTTTCCAAAAGAGAGATGAAGAAATAAGAATTATAGGCCAGTATAGTCTCTCTTTGACATACACAAAGTGGGTTTACGTAGGTAGGAGTTGACCCCTTTCCAGATGTGAATGAAATGTTTTTTACCTTTATGCACATCCATATTGATATTGGGAAAGTTACAACTGTGAATAAGAATGAGAAAATCACCAAAAGCCATCCACAAGGTCCAAGGCCCGTACAACTCTCTGTTGAAAACAAAAAATACATAACACTTATTACTGTTCTTAGCATGATCAAGACCATCTTCGTCCTTACTATTCACTGGACAATTATGTGCTTGCCTTTATGCTCGCTGCTTTACGTGAATTTCCCTATCAAATCCTCACATGACCCTAAGTGTAGGCACTACTTTCCCTAATCTACATAACATGATAACACAAGAAGATTTTCACATTATTCATCATTTTATCCAGCAAACATTTATTAAGCATTCTACTATTTATTACACCCTCTGCTTTGTATTGAAGTGATACAAATGAATAAGACCCAATCCCAGCTTTCAAAAAGGTTAAATTTTAGTAGGGAAGACAGACAAACAGATAATTATAATATTAGGTGATAAATGCAGATAGAGAGTATTTGTTCAGAATACTCTGAAGATTCAGAATGAAGTAACTCAAGCAGCTGGGATGGAGAGTGGAATGGGTGGGTAGGTGATGGTGGTTGTCAGAGAGCTTCTTGAACGATGAAACGTTAAGGAAAATAGCAATGTAAAGGAAGGCGAAGGAAGGAAAAGGGCATTTTAGCAGAGGACGCAGCCTGATTAAAGGTGAAAATCATATGATACGTGAGTATAAAGTCGTTTACAGCCTCCTTTTAAAAATTACACCTGTAAAATACTTTACTAGGTTTACACATCATTTATTGCCCATTTCCTGTAGACAAATGGCTTCCGATTTCTTATTACTATAAGCAATGGTATAATGAACACCTTTGTACACAGTTTTTCTTTTATATTTCTAAATGTTTCCCTTTTCCATACTATGAAATAGATTTTCTGTCTGATTACAAAGGTAATATATGTTCCACTGAAAAAAGCTCAGAAAAGTATTAAAAAGGAAGGAAAAAATACTCTAAATCCAGAGATAATAAGTATTTTGGTATATCTGTCCAAAATTTTTCCTTGTTCACACAACCATATTTTCAAAAATAAATAAAATTTGTAACCTATTTTTCTCCCCTCCAGCTATTATTCTTTCTCCTTCTTTTCTAGCCTTTATAACGATGCATTTGTGTTTTTCCTGTTTTTGTTTTAATTTCTTATTAAGGTTACACTGGCATTAAGTTTAGAAAGTCAAACAGTTCTGTACGATAAGCACAAAAAAAAGTACAGGCCAGGCGCGGTGGC